AGCTGGTTCTTTTGCTCTTGTTCTTGGTGGTGATAGATGAATCTGGCTCTTTTGCTCTTGTTCTTGGTGGTTTGTTTGATGTGTAGACAATGTTAAAGTTGCTACTGGATGCACGTCCTGGCTCTCGACGGTTAGGCAAATTATCTTGAAATTGGAGAAAAATCTTTTTGAGGGCCCTTGTTCGCCTCACATCCATTTATCTGACAAATAATTAAGGACAGAGGAAGTATCAAATTTTCTCAAATGGTTGCTGCATCCTAGAAGCAAATTACACCAGAAAAATATATATATGCATCAGTATTGTTAATTCCCCCAGAATGCTCTAGATTATCTCTATGCTCTAAATATTGCAAGGAAAACCAAATTACTACAGTACTACAATGTACTCCCTCTGTAAAGTAATACTCCCCTTTCTAAATCACTAAAGTAATGATCACTTCCGCTCCACTATTGTCTTGAGCGCGTATGATTGTGGTCGTCGATGACTATACCGTGATATGTGCAAAGTTGATGAAGATAGCTTGAGCAACCTTTTTCTTCTGAAAGCTATTGATCACAAAATTTGTAATGCCAATTTAACTTCAGAAAGAACATTGAAACATGGATCCTTCTCTCAATCGAAGAAGTTGATGTGCTTAATTACTAAGAGAGAACCCATAGATCTCAAGCCAACAATAATAAGCATTTAAGCTACTTATAACTTGATTTTCCATGAGAAAAGAACATATGTTAAATCATATTTAAAATATTATGAAGTCATAAAAGCATAGAAGCATCAGAATTTTCCACTGAAGACACTATGTCAGTGCACCAAAAAATAGGTCAAGAGAAGTGAAAGGAAAAAAGATCAAGTAAATAACACATGGAAGGAGATCTACAGGAAGTAATTATTCGCTTGTACGTATCAAGTTATTTTTAAGAAAGGATAAGAAGGGCATATATAGGGGAGTATGTATTTTGTTTTCTAGAATACGCCCGAGTATGCCTATTATGCATTAAAGGAGAGGGGAAAAGAACCCCAGCGAAGAACTCTTCCATGTTTTACACATAACGTAATTAGAGTTGAATTAACTGAACTGGTACAAATAGGGGAGCATGTACAGCAAAACTGCACACTTCCATGTTTTACTGATACCGCCATTAGAGCTAAATTAACTGAACTGAATCTGTTCCTTGTATGAGCAAAAATACTAAGCTTTTAACTGTACAACCCCACAGCCAGTCAAATGATGCATATAACTGCTGCATGCTATGTGGGAGCGGGAAAAAACACTTCTTAAGGTAATTTAAACATCCAACAGTTGGTGGAAAAACTATATTACTACAGTCAGAATCCATATATGAAAACAAAGTAAGTAAAAGAAAAATGAAATGGAAAACGCTCCACACAAAATATAGATATGTATGAACTGCTAGGATAGAAAATAAATTAAGGAATGCCTTGGAGAGAACTATTTACACATGAAAGAAGTGAGCTATCATGCTGGAAATTCGGATGCATGACTAAACATCCCACCAGGAATAAAAATGAGGTAAGCTGCTAGATCTTGCCTGTTGGTAAATGCCTGGCCATTTTTTTTACAAAAAGTTTCTAAATTCAGATTGGATAGAACAAATAAAGCATTGTTTACCCTTTACATAACTTACCTGGTGATAGCAAGTAAAAATACTCCTACCAAAGCTTCTACACCATCTTATCATGTTAATGCATATATTTTTGTAAGTTACTCAAATATGGACCACGATCTCCTAGAGACCCAAAGACCAATTACGTGGTAGAGTAATGTCTAAATAGAGGAAGCATGATGTTAGTTGTCCATGTGCCTGATACGATTTGCACTTTTTTTTGTTTGAAAAAAAAAATCAATTTACACCTGCACGCCAAGAGTTCATGGTTACACAAAATAATCAGAAGAGTTCAGGTTCACTGAAAGTTCAATATAGAATAACGCATCGTCGATGTGTTATACACACATGTTGAATGCAAGGAATAATAAACCACTAACTGGACCATATCCAATGTTAAATACATCGCAGAATCTATATTGGTGGAATAGTCTTGCTACTTCTCACTGAAAGTATTGCTGAGGGAAAAAGTACAATTCAAACCATAGTTTTAAATAGGAGTTATAGCCCGCTATAGCTGATTCGGAGGTCCGCCCCTATTATCCATAGCCCGCTATTTATAACATTGGTTCAAACCCTGATCTGGACTACATCATCACACATAGGACCGTTGAGAAGATCTCATGGAAGCAATCAATTAAACAGTTCACGTATGAGAAACTTGACACCTATGTCTCTTGGACATGAGATAAGGCACAGTAATACCACAAAGAAGTAGAAGTAATATGATTATTTGTAGTTCTATGAAATAAACATTCCAGTCAAAAACTACAATTACGGATTGCTAAATTTGCATGTGACATTTCTCCACATTAGGGTACTACAATGGTCAATTTTACAATCTCCCCTACTTTATTTTTACTTTTATCTTTGAAGGGCAGCACATATGAATCTGAGAGAAGATATACCTTTTATGACTGCTAAACACCGTCACCATAATATCTCAATAGTAATAATTCCTCTTTCGTATGACCAGGCTTTCTAAGGCATTCTCTTTTTGTACATCACGAACTCATCAATCTGAAAAAAAAAACAAATAGACAAAGTCAAGTAAATATATACCATCATAGAAGATAGTCATCCAGATATTCATTTGCTTGATCTGATATTAATTTGCAAATAAAAAAGAGATCATCCAATTACATAAAAAAAATCATAAAAGATATTCAAGTACACGCCATAAGCATATTGGCATCATGATTGGTAAAACCAGGAACAAAGTGAGCACTTGTGAAAAGGCATCCCTGCACTAAACTAATTGCTCCGGCCATACGTCCACAAAATAGTACACCCATGGAACAGAAAACATGTAAATACTTCATCCCTTGTGTTGAGATAATGCCATGTTGGTTGCGTACTGAAAAAAGCACACATATTTTTCACGTTGGCTTAGTTTGGTCAATTGACCGAACACATTGCAGTTGACTTGAACACCGATGTCGGAAGAGGTGAATGCTACAGCTGGACCGTGCGGATAAACTGCAGGCAGACACGCGAATGCATCAGCTAGCACACACATGACGCAGCTGCAGCAGGAGCACACAAGCCGCACATGCACGCGACATATCACATGGCCAAGAGAGTGCCGAGTGGCAGCCGGCGTGCACTCGCCGCAAAGGGGAGCAACAGCGAGATTGGGCACCTCCTCAGGTTGGCTTCTGGGGCGGAATGTTGGCATCGCCTGGCTCGAGCCCCTCCTCTTCGTGGGGCTCGACCAGAGGGAGGAAGAGGAGTGGAGAAAAAAACAAAGAAGGAATCTGCGCCATGGATGCCTGCTCTGTTCGCTGCTCTCGTGGAGGCGTGCACTTGCGATTAGAAGATGTGACAAGGAAGGCAAGAAGAAAAACGAACAGAAGGCGGCTGGCCCGGACGGCGACCACCACTTAGATTCAAGCCACCGCCGGCCATACGTCCCAAGAAAAAAAAGGACACCCAGCTGCTCACCTGACGCTGGAAAAGATCGAGCCTTCTTCAAGATGGAGACGGTCCGGTCCAGGCAAGGGTCGTCGGGAGGAGGAAGTAGCCAGAGAAATCGTCGGCAGGGCGTTGCCCTCATCCCGGTGGCCCTTGACGGAGCCATGGGGCTCGACACCCTCGAATCCGAAGCGGCGGCGGCTACGCTTTTTTTTCGCAACCCTGGGGGCTTTTTTTCTTTTTTTGAGGTGACCACGGAGGCAGTAGAGGAGAGGTTCTGTTTAGGGATTAGAGGAGAGATGGTTCGAGGAGGGAGGGTTTCATCTAAGATCGGGGCGAGGTGGGCTTTTGTAGGCCCATAGGGCGGTGGACGACTTCGCCCGAGTTTTCGAGAGATTGTCTCACGCATGGAAACCGAACACGTGGAGAGTACGTGGCACACCCCAAAACGCTGAGCGAGATAAAAAAAAAAGATACGCTCCTATCACACGCGTCATGCAAACAAGGGCAGTAAAAAAAAGTCCAAAAAAACCAGGAAAAAGAATCCCTTACGGGCCTAGTATTCTTAGTATTTTCAGAACTTGAACTAGACAAGGAAAGTTGATGTTGCTTGGCATATCTATCCTTTATGGGTAGTCCATATTCTCTGGCCATTAATCTCATAGCATGTTTTGGTTCATGACTCTCCACTCAGGGACCTGACTACATGGCGAAGACAGCAAAGGAATCTATGTGGGGGATATTGCTGGGTTTTTTTTAATTTCCAATATCTTTGGGATGGGCAGAACTTGTCGTGCACCATCATTTGTCATTTGCTTTGGACTTAGTTGTATGTTATTGTTGAATTGCCTGTACTGCAGGAAAGTTTAGTGCTTTACATCTCTAATGGAGTTATGTTTGATATTTGAGTTAGTGTCGGTAATGGAGCTGCCAGTATATATTCATCAGGCTTCCAAGTGACTAGCCAATGTAATTAATTTTTATGTAATGCCATTTACAATGAAACTGCAAAACAAATGATGTGTTAGAAACAAGATTTAGGGTGGTTCAATATTTGTAGTTCAGAAGCATATTTCTGCCCCTGCAAAGGAAAGAAAGAAAGCATGTCTCTCAAGGAGCCTGAGCCTAATCCTCCAGTCTAAAACAGTCAGAAGGTTAGTGCCGCATAACTAACCTTACTTGGGGAGGTCCTGTGTTGGACATTTTGCCTTGGTTCTATGTTGTTTTATTCTATTACTCGCCGTAGGATGAGTAACAGAGAGAGATTCACAGTTTTAGGAATGTGTTTTTGATGTGCCATGTGCATTATTGGCGATTTTATATTGTGACGGTATTGCAATCAGATGCACATCTCAATTTTATCAGTGCTAGATGTTCAGTTTCCGATCCAGAAGCTGGGAGCTCAAAAGTACTTATACTCAACCAATAAATCCAGAAGCTGGGAGCTCAAAAGTACTTACTCAACCAATAAATCCTTTCAGTCCAGGATGTGATTTCGACCGTCTGAAAGACTGCAGTGGATCCTTTGTGCTGCCATCTACAACCGTGCGACCTGCCTCCTTGTTGACACCGCTGTCATCCATCAACTTTCTCATCTTCTCCGACTCCAACCATTCTCCAGCTGAAGCATAGATGTTCGAGAGGAGCACATAATCCCCACTGTCATCGCTCCTTGCCTTTAGCAGCTGTCTGTTAGCGTGCTCAGCCAGTTCAATCTCACCATGGACCCTACAAGCCCCAAGAAGCGTCCTCCAGATGACAGAATTAGGCTCCACCTTCATGGTGTCAATGAACTCAAATGCTTCCTTCAGAAGCCCCGCGCGACCCAGCATGTCAACCATGCAACCGTAATGCTTGACATTGGGCTCAATCCTGTACTGCTGTTGCATCAAGTTGAAGTACTCACGTCCCTTGTCAACCATACCACCGTGGCTGCATGCGATAAGGACAGCGACGAAGGTGATCTCATCAGGCCGGACTTTCTCTTTCAGCATTTTCTTGAACACGTCAACAGACTCCAGGGCATGACCATGCAATGCCAAACCTCCTATGATAGAGTTCCAAGTTGAGACATCCTTATCTCGCATCACCCAAAACACCTCCAGTGCACTCTTCATGCTCCCGCATTTTGCGTACATGTGAATCAGCGCATTGCCGAGGACGACAGTAAAACCAGTTCCTGAGAACTTCTCTGAAAGAGAGGAATGCAACCTTCGGCCAACATCCAAATCACCGGAGTCGGCACAAGCTGACAGTAAGCTCAGCATTGTGATAACATCTGGCTTTTTGCCCATGCGCTGCATCTGCTCAAACAGGTCCATGGCATGCTTGTGCGAGCCGCATCTCACATACCCAGAGATCATGGCGTTCCAGCACACGACATCACGCTCAGGTGCCTGGTCGAACAGCTCTCTTGCTGGGGCCATCTCTCCCCGCTTGGCATACGCGGTGATCATCACATTCCAGGACACAAGGTCCTTCACAGGACACTCGTCGAACAGCTGCCGGGCAGCACCAATATCCCCTCTCCTTGCACAGCCGCTGATCATCGCCGACCACGCCACGGCGTCCTCACGCGCCCTGTGGTCAAACAGAGCACCTGCAACACCCAGCTCTCCGCAGCTCGCGTGCATGCCAATGAGCGCGTTCTTGACGAACGCGTCGGACTCCAGTCCAGCCTTCACGACGTGCGCGTGCACCTGTGCTCCGGTGCCACCCGCGCCCATGGCGGTGCACGCCCGGAGCACGAACGGGAAGGTGATCTTGTCGGGCCTCACGCCGCCGCCGCAGCTGCTGAGTCGCGCCATGCGCGCGTAGAGGGAGACGGCGTCCCGGGGCGCGGAGGTGTGCGCGGCGCCGCGGATGAGGGTGTTGTACATGAAGAGGTCCGGGCGCGGGATTTGGTCGAACACGTGGTAGGCGTGGGCGATGGCGCCGCGCACGGCTACAGCGGACGCGAAGAGGAGCTCGCGGAGCGCGGAGGGGTCCGAGAGGAAGCCCCGGAGGACCAGGAGGGTGTGGACCTGCTTGATTTGGCGGAGGCTACGGCACCGCCGCCACAGCGCCGGCTGCCGGCGCTGGGTGCCGGACTTCCGCAACATCTGCGTTGTGTGCGCGTAAAAGGCGACAGAGCGCGGCGAGTGCACTTCCCCCCAGAGCTAGCAACTGGCCATAAGCACACTCATGCCTCGCTGGTACACAAAACTTCCACATTAGATTAAAAAGAAAACAGAAGAATTACGTCCGACCTATGCATCCACATTACATTATTTCTGGCACATACAAATTTGATTTTTATGTGAATAGTTTGATTTGTAGAACTGAATCTTATAAGAAAGTTTTTAAAATATTTCTTAAGACTGATTTCCGGAGAAAATATGATGCAGTCTAACTCTTGATGCAAACACAATGGACGTGTTTGGTAGCCGTAGGAGCCGGGCCTGGCTCAACCGAGCCTGGTTGAAGGAAAACAGGCAAAAAGTCGACATCTGCACATTATTTGGTTGCCTGCATCTAGGCCTATCGCATTAGGTGAGCAATTTTAGCATAGCATTTGATTGTCTGCATTGGCTCAACTCACGCAACTACATGGTGTTGGATTTCATGCAATAATTGTTGTGTGGTAACCTCTTTGGCGAGGTGGTGAGGTTATCAGCACCAGCGGCGTGAAGAAAAAATTATGCACACACAACAGAAGATAGTTGTAAACTATAGCCGCACTTTAAATAAAGTGCCACACTTAAACATATCAGTTCAAATGCAAAAGCAGTACGATAAGAAACTAAACCAGCTGGAGTATAGGAAGGGCAGTCCTAGACGTTCACGGCGAAGGCGTTGTTGTGCTTGCCGCAACCACTTCAATGCCTTCGTCGTTGAAGACGATGACCTTGAGCGTGTCGGGAGTGGGCAGTTTGAACGTCACCATGTAGTCGATTTTGATTTGATGGACAGCGGCGAAGGGAGCCAAACCCTGATCGAGGGTCACCCTGTCGTACATTAGCCGTCACCACGTCCTCATCCGTGGTCACCTCCTTAGGCGTAGTCGGCACAACCTCCATGGGAGCCACCACCTCCTTGCCCTTCTCCATGGGCGGCACCACCTCCTTGCCCTTGTTGTCCGTGTCGATCTGCATTACAAAGAGCGTGCATTATGAAGAGCACAGAGTTCCGAGGTTGATCGCCATTAAAACCTATCATCCATAACCCCTTTATTTACCCATCCTCGGTGACTACTTACCCACCATCTAACCATCTCACTCAGTCATCTCTCTGTCTCTCACTCTTGCTCCTATCTACCGCCATGAACTCTAGTAGCAACTCCAACTCCAACCCCATCCCCAACCCCTTCCCTTGGGGCATTAGATGGAGGGCTTTCTTTCTCGGGTGCTTGCTCGGTGACCGCACCAAGTTCGAGAACACCATGGAAGTCTACTCCAACTTCACCAGCATGGCAGACATGCAGAAAGAGTCGGACGCGTGGTGAAGAAGGCGACGCTGGAGGAGGTCAAGATGCTGATTCCTGACCCAGGGAAGGGCACTATGTTAGTCAACATCCTTCGCTGGCCATGAAACAGGCCGACTCCGACGATGCTTGACGGAGGAAAAGGTGGGCCAAGTACAGAGAGTACAGGCATCCTCATGACCATCGTGTCGCATCGTACTTCACGACAAGGACTGTGGCGGCGGTGGAGGAGGAACAGGAAGCGTTGGCGATGGAGGTGGAAGAAGAAGTTGTGGTGGCGATGGTTGTAAGGGCGCCGGAGCCAGGACACCGAAGCATGCCAATCGATTTGGAATCTGGCGAGGAAGAAGAGACGGTGGTGTAGCTCGAGGAGAAGAACAAGGGAAAGGCCACCCGCCGCTCCAACTGCCTCCAGGGTCGCTGAGGATAAAATTTAGGACTACTGTGCAAGATTTACCTCCAATCCCAATTACCCTTGTACTCAATCCCGATAAGTAACCTCAAATCCATCAGTACTGCGAACTCATGACAATGTTATGATCACTCTTGTGGCTATTTACATCGATTCCCCATTCCCCTAACGTGGATCAAATTGAATGAGTACGTGAGGAGGGTGAAAAAAGTGCTTACCGCCATTGTTGTGCCGGAGGTGATGATGCGGATGCCGGTGAAGGGGCCGGAGGTCACCTTGCTGTTCTCCGATCTGCTGAACACCGCCGGCGGCGACGGTGAGAGCGGGGACAGGGGAGAGGGGAGAGGTAGCGGTGAGGGGGCGGTGAGGGTAATAACTGCAACGCTTCGGGAAGCAAAGCTGTTTCTCGAGCGTGGCTCCGCACATGCAGTCCTGCCGCCCACGTGCATCACACAGGCCTGGCTCGCTAGAAACCGCCGATCTAAGCGTTTCTAGCGAGACAGGCCCAGAGGTGCTTTGGGTTTCGTGCTATGCAGGCCGAACAGCGAACACATGCAACCAAACGGGCCACAATCTTCCCGCGCGGGCCTGGTTGGCCTATATGCATGCAACCAAACACGTCCAATCTGAATCAACTGAGCATGACATTGTAGTGATACGTTTTCCTTATTCATGTATTTATGGAATCATGCGAATCAAAGCTAAGATCCTAAAGCTTTTATTGTAATTTTCCTTTTCGACATGGCCATGCTTGTAAGGTGTTGTGATTCTTAATATATGGCCTTAGGCCTTTTCCAAAAAAAGATAAGATCACCTAATTTCATTTGTTTTGGTTTTTTTTCTCTCGAAAGGGCCCAAGGCCAAATATTAAGTATTACAGGTCCTTCCAAACACGCTTACACAGAAAAAATTACATTCAAATCCTTTGCTATGCCAAACTCTTCCTGCTGCATCCACTGACAACGTGTCGTAAGCATAGCTTGATGCCGCTCTGGGATTTCACCTCGAAGAAGCAAACTTTTTTAAACTCATGAGCTTGTAGAAGCAACAACTAGGAAGTCGTTGATCTAGACTTGAAGATGCCGGCAGCCGCGATCTGTGAGCAAATTGCCGCCGCGGAGATGAAAATGCCGATGAGGGCGTAGAAACTCGATAGACTGCGGAAGTCACCCGAATCCAGATGGGTCCGCTAAAAACGTAAACCGATCGGACCCGGAAGACAAATCAAAGACACGGCTCCACACGCCCTCCGCCGGCGATAAGCACGCCAACGGAAACTGGGGGAACATTATTCCTAAACTAGGACTCGGCAAAGTAAACCTGAAAAAACACATATCGTTGCATGATAGCTCTGGGTCTGATGTCGAGCTCGTCACCATCCAGGACCATGCATCAACACCCTCTTGTCCAAGCTTGTGAGCAATGCTACACATACGTAATGCTACGTATACATCTGACGTAAAAGATGATGTGGAGGTTGCTAATTGGGCCAGGATTAGCAGCTGGGGTCCACCCCGGTTAAAGTCAGGGGGAAGGAGAGAATTTTATGAAAGGTTAAGTAAGCCTACGTAGCAATTTTCGTAGGTGTAGGATTATTGCTTGTCCAATGACCTAGCCAAGCCGGGCCGCTGTTGAAGATCGTCGTGCTGGATATGTGATCCTCCGACCACCGTCACCTTCACCAGCGCCACCATCGAGCATCGCCTGTCGACAACGGCAATCTGACCACTCATCACCGTCGCTGTCCTGCAACATTCCACCAGCTCCAACATGTCTGGCACCCCACGAGGAGCAGCCTTCCTGCCCACGTCGCATCCGGACGACGGCGAGAGGGGTCAAAGGCTAAGGTTTGGTCGACAGAATAAATCTGCGAAAATACTACCCTTAGAAAACACCCAAAAAAGACAATTGCACACATTTGTCATTTTTGAAATGTGCAATAAATACTTAGGCTCAAGAACAAACACGAACTATAATGATCTAGAAGCAATACAAACATGGTACGACGGTAACAACGGACGAGCAACGTCCATGGCAAATCGATCAACACACTCTCCACTCTGCCTACATATACGAGTTTATCACAATTGCTAAGTTAAATCGAGCCTGTCATAACACGCCGGCCGTCTGGCCAGACAGCCACCGGAGCGTCCATCACCGTCGCCGGAACCAGATCAAGATCAGGCGAGCGGCGCCCTGGAGACGCGGACCTTGAGGCCGTGCGCCATGGAGAGGATGGTCATCATGCGGTACTTGACGGGGTGGCCCTCCACGAGCTCGAACCTGAAGAACCTGCACAGGATGGCCAGCGCCATCTTCATCTGCAGGTACGCCGAGTCCTTGCCCAGGCAGATCCGCGGCCCCGCCTGGAACGCCGTGAACTTGAACGGCGACGCGTTGCGGAAGGCGCCGTCGTCGCCGATCCACCGCTCCGGCCGGAAGCTGGCGGCGTCGGGGCCCCAGTTGTACTCCATCCGCCCCATGGAGTAGGGCACGTACGTCACCATCCCGCCGGCGCGCACCTTGGTGCCGTCCGGGAGCACGTCGTCCTCCGCGATGCCCTTGGGGTCCTGCGGCACCGCCGGGTACAGGCGCAGCGTCTCCGTCACGCACGCGTGGAGGTACACCAGCTTCCCGAGCCCGTCGTAGCTCAGGAGCCCCGCGAACTGCGCCACGCGGGCGGCGAAGGCCTCGTCGGAGCCCTCGCCGTCGCTGCAGGGGACCAGAGCGACGCCATCCTCGCGGGCGCGCTCGGACTCGAAGGCGGCCAGCTCGCGGCGGAGCTTCTCGGCCACGTCCGGGTGCGTCATGGCCATGTAGGTGAACCAGGAGAGCGTCGTGGCCGTCGTGTCCCGCCCGGCGATCACGAAGTTGAGCACCACGTCGCGGAGGCCCTTGTCGTCCCCGAACAGGCTGCCGCCGTCGTCGCCGCCGGCCTCGCCCAGCTCGATGAACCGCGACAGTATGTCGTGCTTGATCTGCGCACGCCCAGTTAATGTGTCAGTGATCAATGGCATCTACACAAACCAGCGAGCCGGAGCTTGACGACGATGATCACGTACGCACCTTCTCCTGCTTGCCGCTGGCCCGGGCCTGCACGATCTCGGCCTTGCGCCGGCGGATGACGCTGTAGGTGAACTCGTCGACGAGCTTGATGCTCTGCTCCAGCAGCGCCTCCGAGCCGACGTGCAGGAACTTCTTCACGCGCCACAGCGGGTCGATGAACCGCAGCGTCACGATGATGTTGGCGGCGTCGAACGCCTGCGCGAAGCTGTTCTCCGGCAGCTCCGGCGACAGCGTGCCGATCTCCACCCCGAACCCCACCTTGCAGATCGAGTCCAGCGTCATCCTCATGTACAGCTCCTGAATTCGTTCGCCATTAATCATCTCGCGTCACAATCTTGAAATCTTCTCCAACAAATTAATGTTCAGATGATCAAGGGGATGAGTTCAGTTACCTGCATGTCCACAACTTTGCCTGCCTTGCAAGCCTGGCTCAGGATGCTGGACAGCTTCAGAGAGTACTCCCTGAACACGATCGTGCTGAAGTCTCTCAGGTTCTTGGAAGCGAACTCGAAGCTCGCCGTCTTCCTCTGCTTCCTCCAGAGCTCGCCGTCGGCGTTGAATATGCCGTCGCCGAGCAGCACGTCCATGTAGGACCTGTACACCTCCCCCTACACACACAATTTCAGATTTCAGACATTTGTAACACTGTCAGTACCGATTATACTGAACCTTGACTGACATCTCGAGGATTGTTTCACCTTGGGGTAATTGTTGAAGTTGGTCTTGAGCACATGCTCGACGTTCACGGGGTCGGCGATGTAGGTGTAGGAGGTGAAGGGCATGTCGACGGTGACCGTCCGGTGCTTGGACAGGTACTCCACGAGCCAGTCGTGCATCCGGTAGTAGTTCCTCAGCTGCTCCAGCGTGGCGCCGATGACCGGCCATGACCTCGGCCCCTTCTGCTTCCTCAGGCTCCACCAGTGGACCAAGATCCACGAGAGGAACACGAGGAAGATGGCCATGAACTTGTGGAACCCTGCCAGCGGGAAGAAGGCCGTCGTCGACGGCATGCCAAGGTGAGCTTCCTCCATGGGGCTGCTCATGAAGGGGGTTCAGTCTACAGGAGGATTAACTCTATGTAGAAGGGGGCTCATGGATGGCTCGGTTAGGTAATATATTGGGCATTAGTGCTGCCGAGCACCAAACAATCTTGGTGTGGCCGAGAATTAAGATTGCCTCATCCACATGGTGTCCCTAACCTAACCCCCTGACTAGATGGAACCTACCGTTTGTGTCCTTTTTGTGATCTGCTGACCAAGAAAATACTGATTTTTATATGCATATCTATACTACCTATAAAAGAGAAAACATAATCTTTTTTAAGTGCACCCCACAAAACGTACACGGATACATTACCACCGCATGATTAGTCCCACTAGACTCAATCTAACGGCTAGCCTTAATCTAATCTGTTCTCTTTGTGCACTTAGCAATTTACATTGACTGACCATACTCCACCGTGAAGGAAAATATGAAGTCCAAGCCTGGTCAATTAGGAAACTATAATCACGGACACATCCTATTAAGAAACTAATCACAAACGCATCTAATTATTAGGAAACTAATCACAAACGCATCCTATTATTAGGAAACTAATCACGGATGCATCCTATTATTAGGAAAATAATCACGAGCGCATCCTATTAGGAAATTAATCACGAACACATCTAATTATTAGGAAACTAATCACAGACGCATCCTATTAGATAACTAATCACGAACACATCTAATTATTAGGAAACTAATCGCGAGCGCATCCTATCGTCTCCTATCAGGGAATCGCAATCGCGAATCGCCTGTCGTCACCAGCCCACCACCCACGCGAGCCACAATGGGAGACATGCGAAGAGGAGCTGCGGCTTCCTCCGAACACGCACACGTGCCGTCGCCGCCTTCGTCTCCTGCCTGGAGGGTAGGTCACTCTTCTACTGACTGCAACGACTTCGCATCATACAGAGAGACCAACCATGTTTCTCCGAATATCTTGAATCATGATCCTTATGACTTCATCTCTACTACTTATAAGTATATTTTTTTCATTTGACTATTTTCCTGACTTGGGAGGTAAGGTATGTTTTATCCACTAGAGTTGCTAAAATTGGAAGCATATCTGCAGTTTTTTCTTTCTAAACCGGCATTTGTTGGCCCTTTTTTGCCACTGTTATTCTTACAAGTGGTAGCCTACGTATCATTATTACTACAAACTGAGAGGATATTTGTTATATTGTCAAAATTTTAGAATGTTGGCCCTTAAAGAAATGTGTAGTACTCAAGTAACTGTTCCAAGTTGTCATATTAATGCTTTTGTCCAGTGATTAACAAGTATAATTACGCAATTGATCAATGTAATTTTTATTTTGTTTACATATTCTATTTTCATAATAAAGTAAGTCACTTTTCTTGCTTCCAGACATTACAACACTTGTGGTGTAATAGTAGAATCGGATGGTCCAACTAGCATTTTTTTGTCTTGTTTCACAGCTGATTCTATGCACTCAAGACATCTCTACACTTCTCTATGTGACAATGGCTTCCTCTTTTCAACAAACCATAGAGGTCTCTTCCCGCTATTGTGTGGTTGACACTCGATTGTAATAATAATTCTTGACTGGAGTTTGTTGGCACTGAAACGGTTCCTTAGCTTGTCCTAAGTGACATTTTCATGTGTGGTTATACTTGCATAAATGTGTGCATATGGAGAATCATGATGAATCTTCTAAATAATTTTGAGTTTTATACATTGGGAAAAGTGGGTGGTCTTTTAATACAGGAGACATGTTGATTAAGGAGAAACGATATTTCAAATTATTTGTACGAGTTGGGAATAAGAGATTGTGTACTTTATAGGGAAATTTCAAATTTATGAATAAATTGTCTTGTATTAAGTATAGTATAATGTGTTAATCCAAATAGACGCGTGTTGCACGCGCACACTTATTAGTCTAAATAGACGTGCGTTGCACGTGCATATTTACTAGTAACTAGATATGTTTGTATGTGCTTGATGCTGAGCTAGGTCATGGATTCTGCATTTTCATTCTGTTTTACTGTACATGTAGGTGGTGCATTTTTATTTTCATTTTTGCGGGGAATGTAGGTGATGCATTTGATGACAGTTAGCATTGTGATGGTCTCATCTTCACAGTTGGAACCATGGTTATGGTCCGTCTGATCTTTAATGAACCCGCACTAACCAATACAAAGTGCATCTTTCAGTGAAACAGTTTTTGAAGTCAAAGCAGAGCAAGTTGAGAAATTTGGAATGAAGGGGTGTCAAGGGGTGCTCTGATGTTCTCCCTAAATGGAAGAAGCCTGAAAATCACAAAGATGGAAAATATTGTTGAAAGTTCCCCCCTTCTATATTAATTAGAATTTTTTAACAGAACCAAACAAATGAAATTTTTGATGAAAATGATCACCTTCTATTTATTAGAAACTTGTAACAGGAAAAAAAATCACAAACATTGAAAACCTTGCAGAGCATATGTGGAAGCATCTAATGCTGCCAAATAAATATGTTCCACAGATCAGAACACTTCTATCACATATATGCTCTACTTAATAGTACTCCCTAACATTGCATTCCAAAACTTTCAAGCTGATCATATTCTGTTGGTACTACCGTAGGAGTTGCAGATGATGTACAATAAATGAAGAGCACTTTAAATTTGACAATGATCTGATGAAGATAATTCATGTCTCCATGGCAAACAATGAAAGAATAACCAAACATTGTATTCCTACGACCTTGAAGTTGATAAGAATTGATTCCTATCAGCTGAGAATTATGTGTAGGGCAGAGTTCACTCCTAAGTCCTAATCCAGTATATACTTTAAAGAACATCATCACTTGATAAATGACATGTATATACAATGGGAGTTCATGACAAACATGTCTCTATGCCAAACACTGAATGAATAGCCCAACATTGCTAAGATTTTCAAGTTGAGCACAATTGAAGTATGTGTAAGGCACAGTTTCATTCCTAATCCAATATTGCTTTAAAGGATATAACTTGATAAATGAAATCGATAAAATCGGAGAATTCGTGTTCAACACTGAAAGAATTACCCAAAACCAAGACCAAGAGAGCATAAAAATAGAGCTCTCATGTATGATCTTGACTCTCAGCCATCCTCTTATTACAAAACACTGAGCAAACAAGAACATTTGCTGCAACAAACCTATCTGAACCAACGAATAAAGAAAAGAGCAAGAATAAAAACCTAGAGGCTTTTGCTGTTGTCACCCTCCAGTGTAAGTCTGAAGAGAGCCCTCATTGCCTGCCTCTTCACTACCTTGCCATAGGTAGCCCTTCCAATCCTCACCACCTTGTCCTCAACCTCCAGCCGATTGCCGCAGCCATTGCCATCGTTGGAGCCCCTCAGCATTGCCCTCAGCACTGTCTCACTCCCGCCGACCGAGCCGGCGATGCTCTCTGCGACGACAGCCTCTCCAGGAACCTTCCTTCCCCATTTCCTCATCAACCTGCCATTGTCGAACAAGGAAGAGTACGCGCTCCAGAAAGATGCGCGCACGAATGCCTTTCGCCTCTCCTTCACCATGGACTTCCTCATCTTGTCCTCAAGCCGCACCACCAGTGCTCCCATGTCTGCTCCTCCATTGACCAACTCGTTCTCTGATCTCACGAGCTCCTGCCTGAGAACGGCGTCCTCGGCTTCGAACCGGCACCGGTCACACCGGCACTCGAACCCCCACGCCCTTGCTGCCTCCCGGCGCTTCCCCACCGGCGTGAGCACGTCGAAGTAGGGGAACGTGACCTCCTCTCCGGCCTTGATGTCCCTTGAGGCGTGAACAATGGCGTGGTCCCCGACGTGGGTGCGCCGGGCATTGGGATGGCAGGAGTGGTTTAGGAACGACGGCAAGATCCACAGCCCCACGCCGCAGTTGACGATGCCACTGTTGCCGAGCAGATTGGCGGACGGCGCGTCCTCGGTCAAGCAATTGACGTCGAGCACCTTCATGACCCTGTCCACATCGAGAGCCTCTCGTGTGCCAATGCCAGCCTCCGGTACGCCGTCACTGAGATCCTCTGATTCTGGCTTGAACAGTGCCATGTCCGGCACGGCGAGCTCGTCTTCCTGCTCCTCGCCGGCTGACAGAGCATAGATCAACGACGCCGTCCTCCGGCACTTTTCCGCAGCGTCGAGCACCTTGTCTACGAAGTCTTTCCAGACCACCATCTTCTCGTCGCTGTCCGCCGCATCCGGGATCACCCCCCTCCCAGTCGCCACCGCCTTGGAGATCATCAGCGTGGCCCCAGCCTCAACGCCCTTCACCGCAAAGACCCCTCGGCCGCCGTGCGCGGACAGGCGCACCTCCACCGGGCCGACGAACTCCGCGAGGTCCGGGCACTTCCCGGAGAACCCGGCGAGGACCCAGTCCGACAGGTCCACCGTCCCGCTCCTGGCCTGCGCCTCGAGGCGCCTGCACTGCCCGAGCATCTCCCGCGCCTCGTCGGCGCCGGAGGTGCCCGCGGGGAGCGCGGCGCGGAAGCAGTCGGCGGCGTGCGCGTAGCGGCCGAGGCCGCGGAGGAGCGCGCCCTTGGCGAGCAGCGCGGCCGGGTGGGTCGGGTCGGCGGCGAGCGCGGCGTCGCAGTCGGCGAGCGCGCCGGGGCGGTCGCCGAGGCGCGCGCGGGCGTCGGCGCGGTGGGCGAGCGCGGAGCAGAGCACCCGGCGGTCCGTCGCGGCGGCGCCGTGCACGATGCGGGAGCAGACGGCGGCGTACCCCTCCCAGTCCTCCTTGAGCAGCAGCCGCGTCGCCCGGCTCCGCAGCTCCTGCAGCGACTCCTCGTCGAGGCCGTCCCGGGGTCCGGCGGGCATCGCCGACGCCGTGGTGGGTGGGTGGGCGGGCTCGTGCGAGGCCGACGCGGCCCTTTTTTGCCTGGGTTCTTTGGTGGGTAGCGACTGGCGAGTGAGCTGCGAGTGGTGTGGAGCACGAGCAGTGTGGCGGCTACGTCGGGTTGAACGCCTTTTGGATTGTAACGTTCGGATCTGGGGGGATGCGGTGGAGTGTGGAGTGGCAACGGCTACGAGCTGTCACTGTAGGTCAGGTGATTTTATTGCGGTCAACACGAAGGACTGACAGAATGGGTGGCTGGATTTAATACTCTGTGAAGCAACATGAAATTGCAAGGTTGTTTTCATGGAAAATTACAAGTTTTTCTTCAGCGGGTATACTTGATAGGACAACAGTATTCGATCTAGATGTTGCTCTCTGAAGTAGTAGCTTAGACAGATCGATACAAGGAGCGGCGCTCGAATGGGGAAAAACAGGAAGAACTAGGGTTCGGTAAGGGGAAAGTATCAGCCGCCGATTCGTTCGTGATCCTCTGGATGGTGATGCCGAGTCGCTCGCCTCCTTTAGTAGTCGCGCGGGGCGGGCTTCAGTTAGCCCACGTCGGCCCAATGACGAGCGGGTTGGGCCTCCTGGCCCGTGTTGGCCGCTGAGCAGGGACGACGTGGCCGTGGCTGTCGCTGCTCGGTGGGTCCTGCTTGCCAGCACCGTTGACATCCCCCCTTCCTTGAAACGAGGCTTGTCCCCAAGCCTCCGCAAGCGGGAACCGTTCCTGAAGACCGGCTTTGTCCTCCCAAGTGTCTCCTAGCGTCTCTGAATTGGACCAACGAACTTTGACTTGTTCTCGCATCTTGCCCTTTGACATTTTCCACCTTGACTGAATGATAGACATAGGCACTGCCAGTTCATCAGTGCAATGTGGAAGGTAAGGTTCGACAGACGCACCGGAGCTCAATACACGGTGCAGCAGCGAGACATGAAACACAAGGTGAATTGTTGCTTGCGGTGGGAGTTGCAGTTTGTAAGCCACCTCATTGATCTTGGCCACTATCGGAAATGGTCCTTAGTACTTGTACGCCAACTTGTGATTCTCTCTTGGTGCCACCGAGGTTTGTATGTACGGTTGTAGTTTCAAGAACACTTGGTCCCCTACCTCAAACGCCTGAAACGATCGTTTCTTGTCAGCTTAGCTCTTCATGAGCTGTCTGGCTCTGTTCAAATGCTGCTGAAGCAGTTCTTGTACAGTATCTCGCTCTTCGATCCAAGACTTGAGAGCTGGTACCGAGCAGATGTTCTCCGCTGTGATCCCCCAGTGCCTAGGTTCATATCCAAACATAGCTTTGAAAGGAGTCATTCCTATGGCCGAATGATGAGAGTTGTTATACCAGAATTGAGCAAGAGGGATCCAGAAACTCCATCGCCTGGGACACACTTGCGTGAAGCAACGCAAGAATGTCTCCACACATTGGTTGAGCCTCTCGGTCTGGCCATCCGTCTGAGGATGGTTGGCCGTGTTGAGTTTGAGTTGCGTGCCTTCTGCCTTGAACATTTCTTGCCAAAAATGACTAGTGAATACCGGGTCCCGATATGACACAATAGCTCCTGGGAGACCATGGATTTTGTATACTTGCTGGATGAACAACTGAGCCACTGATGCCGCTGTATATGGGTGAGCTAGGGGAAGAAAGTAACTGAACTTCGTTCTTTTGTCAACTATTACCAGCAGGCAATTGAAACGGCTGGATTGAGGGAGGCCTTCCACAAAGTCCATGGAAATCATGTCCCATGGTTTAGAAGGAATGGGCAAAGGTAGCAGAAGACCTGGTGCAGCCGCTCTGTCCGGTTTGGCTTGTTGGCAGACCGTACAGCACTGCACGTAATGCTTGACTTGAGCCTTCATTTTGGGCCACGCGAACAGGCGTCTGATGCGACTGTAAGTCATCGGAAAACCTGAATGACCTCCCATTGGACTGTCATGAAAGGCTTGGATGATGCGCTGTTGAATGTGAGTTCCCCCTCCCAGCCAGATCCTCCCTCTGAACCTGAGAATGCCTTGTTGCAGGTGAAACCTGCCCTTGGGATCGTCACGCACTGCTAACTGCTCCAAAAGCTTCTGGGCCTGAGGGTTGTTGTTGTAGCTGCTGAGAACATCTTCCAGCCAGCTTGGTTGACACGACGTAACCAACGCAAGTGCTTCTGTTGGATCTGCCCGTGATAGTGCGTCTGCACCGCTGTTGTCCATCCCTTTTTTATACTTGATGCAGTATCTGAGTCCCAGGAGCTTCATAAACTCTTTCTGCTGCCACGGGGTATTCAACCTTTGCTCTTCCAGGTGGGTGAGGCTTTTTTGATCTGTATAGATGACGAATTCTGAATGTTGCAGATAAGGCCGCCACTGCTCCACTGCTATAATGATGGCCAGGTATTCTTTTTCGTACGTCGATAAACCCTGGTACCTTGGGCTCAGGGCCTTGCTCATGAAAGCTATGGGGTGCCCTTGCTGCTGTAGGATTGCTCCGATGCCACGATCGCATGCGTCAGTCTCCACAACGAACGGCTGTGCAAAGTTGGGCAGCGCCAAAAATGGGGCTGAGATGAGCTGCTTCTTCAACTCCTGTAATGTTGTTTCGATGATGGAAGTCCAGAGGAAAGGAACCCCTTTCTTCAACAAGTTGAATAGTGGCTTTGCAATTACTCCAAAATTTCGGACAAAACGACGATAGTATCCTGCGAGGCCCAAAAAACTGCGGACGCCCTTGACATCTTGCGGAGGGGTCCAGTTAGCCACTGCTGTTATCCTGGTTGGGTTTGTGGCTACTCCATTCGCGCTGATGACATGCCCCAGATAAGAGACCTTGCTTTGCCCAAAAGCACACTTGTTGTATTTTACTTTCCATTGGTCCTTGCGCAGCAACTCCAGCACCTGCCTCACATGGCACTTGTGCTCTTCCAAAGAAGTACTGAAGATTAAGATGTCATCGAAGAAACACGGGACACAGACTCTTATGACTGGCTTAAGAGTTGTGGTTAACCGTTCAATGAAGGTAGGTGGGGCCCCTGCTAATCCAAAGGATAACACCTTGAACTCAAAATGTCCCTGGTGGGTAGAGAATGCTGTTTTGTACTCCTCCCCCGGCGCGAGTCTGATCTAATGGTACCCCGCACGTAAATCCAACTTGGAAAACTAGGCTGCTCCGTGTAATTCGTCCAACAGTTCCTCGATAACTGGAACAGGAAACTTGCCTACCATAGTGATGGCATTTAGTTGCCTGTAATCTATGCATAGTCGCCAAGTCCCGTCTTTCTTCTTCACCAGAATGACTGGAGAGGAAAAAGGGCTGTTGCTGCATTGAATAACACCAGATTTCAATAAGGCTTCGACTTGAGCTTCAATTTCTGTTTTCTGTTCTAGCTTGTAACGATACTGCCTGACATTGACTGGCCTTGCTCCTGGAATCAGGGGAATATGATGATCGCACGCCCTCCTCGGAGGAAGTCCCACTGGTTCTTCGAACACGTCCGGGAACTGATTGACGATTTCCTGAATGCAATCTGGAGTTGGCTCCAGATCTTCTTGTGGAGGGGCGACTACACAAAGGTGCATGATATGAGAAATTGACCCCTTGTTGCACAGGTTTTGCAGCTGCAAACTGTTGATGGAATGGCAATCTATGAAAGTTGCATCGTGCCCCACTAGCCGAAGCGGACCTGCTGGTGTTGGGATTTCAATGACGCGCTCACGCCAGTCCACCTGCATCGGGTTGTGCTCCTCCAACCAGTCCATGCCCAAGATGACATCGTAAGTGACCAGAGCCAGAACCTTCAGATCCGTGTAGAACTCGTGTCCTTGAGCATACCAAGCACATTGCAGGGCAATTTCCTTGCAAAGCAATTCCCCTCCGTCTGCCACACGCACTCGGCTGGGCTTGTCCATTGGCTGGGTCCCTGAAAGCTTACTTGCCAATCTCTCATTGATGAAAGAGTTGGAACTGCCTGAGTCAACCAACATGAGTACCTCGTGCCCCTGAAGCCAAGCTCGAAGCTGAAACGCCCTGGCTGACACTCCTCCTGTGACAGCAGAAACTGAAATGGCCATAGCAGTCTCTTGCACCCCCTCTTCTGAACTCACTTGGGTGTCGACGAAGCTGTCGATGCCAAACATGTCCAGCAGCTCTTCTACAACGTGCAGCTGCACTGAGGTGGGGCACACATGGTCGTGCCCCCACTTCTCGTCGCACTTGAAGCATAAACCACGGGCTCTTCGATACTCACGCAGAGTCTTGAGCTTGGAGGCCTCCGCGCGCGCTGCGTCAGTGCCACGGCGATCTTTTGCGACCGTGGCTGGGGGATGACGCAATGGAGGAGCCAGAAGTGGTAGCGGAACGCCTGTACATTGAGGCAGCTCCTGGGGGCGCACTGGTGGGGTACGCGCGCCATCGGCCACTTCTTCCTGCAGCAGCGCCAGAGCGCATGTTGTATCCAGATCAGGAGGGCGTTGCACCATTACCATCGCTCGTATGTCCGTCCGCAGGCCCTCGACAAAACGAGTCAAGAAATAGTAAGGATGCATAGTGTCTGAATATGAACTCAAGTGATTGATAATAATTTCAAACTTCTCAATATAATCTGCTACCGAAGTAGTTTGGTGGATGGTAAAAAATTGTCTAATGAGCATCCGGTGCCTATCCCTGCCAAAACGCGTACCCAAGAGAGAGGTGAACGCATCCCAATTGAACTCCTTGAGACGTTTCTGAATAGATTGAAGCCATATGGCCGCTGGCCCAGAGAAATTGAGGGCGGCCATGGGAACCCAGAAGGATTGCGTTATCCCAAACATGCTAAAGTACTGCTCACACAGGGTTTTCCATAGGTTCGGATTTTCGCCCGAAAATTGGGGGAAAACGATGGAGGGATGCGCCTGACCCAAACCCGTGAGCATTTGACTCGCGTGTGTAAACGGCGACAGCGGGGTGGGAGAGTTCAGTAGGGTGGTCTGACCTTTTGCCGGGGGCGGAGGCGGCGTCTC